ACCATTGAACAAATTCGTAGGTACCTTTCATACCCATAGTTCAGAATATTAATCATAACTTTTGATAGAATGAACCGATATTAATAAAACAAAGACTAAACATAAAACGAAGATATGCTACACAATTTTTCTAGCCATTATTTTGATATAAATCAGCACTTTATAAATGGTACGTTAACAAACAAACAGACAGACAATTCTAAAAATGATAGAAATGTATTCAGTTACCTATTTTTAGCTCCTCTCAACCAATTTTGTTACAAAAATATAAAATGTACAGGCATCTCCCTTTGAGTATTGAATACTCAAAGGCATCTACAATTTACATTTTTATTATATGTATAGAATAAAATAGATAATGTCAACCATCAAAATGGCGTCCATAAAGCAGCTTCCTTTTGACCTTTTATTATTTGATTGACCGATGAAGAGCTATCGTATCACAAAGTCATCTATACAAACAAGGCTCTAACTTTTGAGTAATAAGAAAGTGACCATATTAACCGGATAACCTTATTACCCTCACGTACTATAGAATAGAATTTTTTTTTATTCAATATAGATTACATGTTGTAATTCTTATTGAAAGTAGTTTACTTTACCACTGTTTCGAAAAAAAAAACTCTGTCCTAGGAAGAACCAGCAAGAAATCCAGCGGGACTTTAAAAAAATAATTTTACAATGTCAATGGTCACAAAATATTTACAAAATTTATATTAGAAACAGCTTGGAAGCGACCACCATAATTCCCAAGGGGTTATTATCAACCTTGTATTCATTTATATTATAATAACCATTTTTATATAGTATTTGTTTAATTAAACCTTGCATATTTTCTGGGACTTTATTATAATAGCATATACATCGCCCCAAGAATGAATTACTGAGTCTACGGAGTCAAGAAATGTAATACAGATCATAATATGAAGTTAGTTTATTGAAGTAGTAAATTAACTCATACAAAGTTTAAATAAAATTTACAAATACATATTTTGCTTCAAGCGCAGTTTAAAGACCTTACTTCGAGATTATTTATTTGTTAGTAATTACAGGAACAATACAACAATGTTTCAGGTGCTGTGATAGTCGATTATTTTCGAGTATTCGAGAACATTGGTAGGCTATCACTGGCCCGGATTCTGCACACCAGGGATGCACATCGCTTGCGTATGATCGCGTAAAATCAATTCATTGACACTAACTTCCGAACATCCCTACCTGGTGAACGGAAGCAGCCCCTTAATCATACAAAAATAAATAAATAAATAAATAAAATGTTATATTGCACTGTACTGCAACAATCTATAAACGAGATGTTTTAACTTCAATTCTACTACGCGTAAATATTCCAGTTATCATGTTAGCTTTTACTAATTAAGACCTGTGCTACCTTTTAGGGTCTGTATTTTCCTTTAGGTTGCCGAATATCTATCCAAGATACTCAAAATAGTTCCAAAATCTTAAGAATGGTTCCATGCAATTTTGAAGGTAGAACAATAGGTGGACATTTGTTATTGCCCTTCAAAGACTATCTATACATTTTGTTATAGCATTGGGTGACAAACGAACACACAGTCCACCTGATGGTAAGTGGTTGCGGTGGCCCATAGACATCTACATCTATCGTCGATTACGAATCAAAATGCAAATGCATTGTCACCCCTGAGCACTAAGATGGAATGCCTCGATTCCAGTAAAAAGGGTCTCCAGTTCTCTACACTCACCATACGAAAAATTGTGTGAGAGCGTGGTGCTTCCCCGTTCGAGCCGACCCATTCGTGCTACAACTATAATGGACCCCACACATAGTCAGTTCAACTGATCAGTTGAAACTAAAACTGTTGATATATTTTAAAATAGTGGATTTTCGATATATCGATCATTATTTATTTTTTTACATTACTTTATTTTATACATTATTGCACTCATGATTTTTTATTCAAATAACCAGTTCAGTTTTTTCTATTATGTCAATAAGATCAAAAAATATTATTCATCAGTATGTAATTTGTATCTAAATGTAATTAAAAAAAAAAACGAGCAAAGCTCGATCATCCGCGTACTAAATATATTATTATCGAAGTTTTACATGTATGTTTATTTACGGACATATCGAAAATTCGATATTTTAAAAACTATCAACAGTTATTGTTTGAACTGATCAGTTGGAATGATCAGTTTAAATGACCGTGTCGTGGCCATTAAAATATAGCTGCAGCGTAGCTCTATCACGTAAAAACATTTTGCTATTATCTTGAAACTACATACATATAAATAAAATTGAAACGTTTGCCTGTAACATCGAAACAACTGGTTTCTATTAGCTCAATTCCGTGTGGTCGCGATGTAGGGAATATCCACTACCCCATGCAGTCCTGTTGGTGTCGTAACAGACGACGAAGGGAAACTGTAGCAGGAGATGGAGAGCAGGATCTTCCTGATAACTATGGCAAAGTTTTTGCTATATGGCAATGGGTGCGTTTGGCAGAAAAAAGCGCTAGCAAGCGTTTGTAAGCAAAATGGCGATCGTAAGCGGTAAGCGCTGTCAAATCGTAAGTAGCTATTTTCCTCCAGGACACGATGTTAGTTTTAACCGTGGAATCTAACCTAATTTAAATATATGTTTGTAAAGTATTCATATTAAAAACTTACCAATCATGAGTTTTTAATAGCATGTATATGTTTATTCATGTCATTATATTACTTAAAACTAATATTGCACGAAACAACTTATAAACTCTACTTCAAAACAAACGAATTTAAATAAGCAAAATGGCGGATTGTGTCAGCGCTACTGAAGTAGCAATCGTGTCTTGGCCGAAAACTATTTTAGCGCTAGTAAGCGCTTACTAGCGCTTTTTTCTGCCAAACGCACCCAATCTATGAGGAAGACCTATGTTAAGCAGTGGACTTATATAGGCTGTAATGGATGGATGGATTAAGCTCAGGGGGTCCTTTCCATGCTACGAGCAACCATGTTTAAATGTTTGTTTGTCTTTCTGACTGTCTATCTGTCCGAGCTAATGTTCAAAATTTTTATTTTAAATAATTTCTCATATCGTACATGATTTTTGAGATAATAGCAAAAAACTTAGTTTAAAAGGGTTTTTAGGGTTCCGTACTCAAAGGGTAAGCAACGTGACACTATTACTAAGCCTCCGCTATCCGTCCGTCCGTCCGTCCGTCTGTCCGTCAGCGGGCGGTATCTCATGATCCGTAATTATTATTATTATTATTATTCTTTATTTCAGAAATTTCTTTCCATAGAGTGGGTTAGTAATTACGAAAAGAACTTATAAGCTAGGGTTAGTAAATAAATGAAATTTAAAAGGTTACATACTGTATTACTATACACTATCTACTTTATATTTACCAGAGCAGGTCTCGAGCCGATATGGACGCTGTTCCAGTGCCTCAAGATAGGACAGCAATAGCGACTCCCTATCGCCGCCAGGAGGCTGTTGGAGCTATCCCGGACATGGCGCCATGCGGAGGCAATCCGTTTGCGCATGATAGCTGGGAAACTATCTATGCGAGCCTCAGCAAACATTGCCGACCCGCTGCAGTACCGAGGCAGCCCTCCTGAAGCCGTTATTATATTGGACGCGCAGGGTTGTGAGCGTCTTCCGTGTATACTCAACCCATAAACTGCAGGTGTAAAAGGACTGACAATAGGCTCTGAATAGAGTTTTTTTTTTAACTTCTATATTACACCCTGCAAATCTACGGGCGAGCATATTCGCTCTCATAGCTAGAGCCCTGCGTTCCCTCTCTATGTCAATATCATCCGACATATTTTCAGTAACCCAGTGTCCCAGGTATTTGAAACTTGTCGCTCTTTTCAGTGGTACACCTTCAAGAGCGACAGTGGAAAAATTGTAGCTATTATATTTTGATTTAAAAAATACGATCTCACTTTTCTTGACATTATATCGTAGACCATGAGCCCTTGCATACTTCTCACAGATACTGAGTAGTTTTCTTAGACCACTAATTGATGGGCTCAGCAGCACCATATCGTCGGCGTAACTTATGTTGTTATGCGCAATATTATCAATAGAGCAGCCGACTCCACTACCACCGAGTTCGCCAATCAGACTGTTCACGTAGTGGTTAAAAAGTGCAGGAGAAGATAGTCCGCCCTGTCTTACTCCGCACTCCAGCCCATACGCCTCGTATTGCACGCCTGCCCATCTCACCTGATTCTGTTGATTGTCGTACCAATACTGGAACAGACCTATTAAGTCATTAGGAAAGTCATTAGTTTCAGTAGCCAGCTTCTTCCAAAGTATATCTTATTTAACTGTATCAAAGGCCTTTGATATGTCCAAAAAACAGCCTATAACAGGTGTCCTACGATTTGTGCAGTAACGTACGGTGTGCTTGAGACAAAGTACAGCACTTTCTGTGGATAACTGCAGTCTAAAACCAAATTGTGCATCACACAGATTAATGGATGTCTGTAACTTCCTCTCAAGCAGACCGTCCATCACTTTCGCTATAGTAGTAGCCAGGGAGACACGTAATAGAGAGACAATTGAAATTGTCACAGAATGTGTATTTCTTAGTATTTTGCCGCTATAACAACAAATAATAAAAATAAATTACGAATTAAACGCCGCTACCTTACTAGAAACGTGTTCTTACGATGGTACTGAACCCTCCATGCGTTAACCCGATTCACACTTGGCCGATTTTTTTTTTCTATAATTAAACTACTTACACAAACCCACTAAGTAGACTGCAGGATGTTATTTCTTTTAACTTCTACTCGGGCGAAGTCGCGGATAAAAACTAATATATAATATTATCTTATCGGCTTAAATCTTATGTAACATATAGAAAACATTCAATTGTCGCAACAGTTTTAACCAATCAGTTAGCCAGTTACGGCGTGTACCAATGTTAATCAGAAATCGCATTTACTAACTTGATTTTTGCGTAAGCGCATTGAGTTTAGTCGCCGTTCGACTCTGAGTATAAACCGTCGTCTCAGCAAAATGGTGAGGTGAGCTTCATGACGAATGTTATTTTTATTTTTATTTTTATTTTAATAAGTGTGCTATCTAGTGACAGTGTTTCGTAGTAGAAAGCCGTATGTCGCTCGTTATATCAATTACAGGACCGGTTTTCACGTAAGTTTTTGCGTGTTCGTATCACATAACCACTTTTGCAGCAATTGTACTCACAGTAGTGAGCTATTTTGATGTCACCATAAAACGAAACTATGATAAATGATTATAATGAAGTGGACATTCGCTTCTATATTTTTAATAGATAAGTACTTATTGCATAAACTATTCATCCGTCATAATCATAAACAGCCTTAGCAGTGGACTTACCATTTCTGAACATGAACATTCCTTCTCATTCAAGAATACGATAGATTGCATGCAGTAGGTACATAATATATTTTTACGTCAATATAGAAAATTCAATGATTTTAAATTAGTTGTCTCTTTTTAACTTTTTTTTTGTAAATGCTAATGTCATTAATTACATGTTTTATAATATAAAACGGATTGAAAAAAAATCATTATGGTATAGGTTCCTACTGAGTACTTACTAAATATTATTTTTATTGTAACTAGAAAGAAATTATAACGGTTAGAAATTATTTTAGTTATAAAATTACAAACTGAGTTAGAAAGTATATTTATAAGTATTTTTTATTTTAAATAAAATAACATAAAATTATTAGTTCAATTTATTTGTTTGTTTTTTTTTAATGATTTATTTACTTATGTAATTACGTTTTGATTAATTTATTGAGTCAACCACATAATGTATAACACTGAAGTATTGAATTACTGACAAACATGCATAGGTATCTGCACAAAATAAATATCAACTAGGTAAATATAATACATATACTATCGACAACTAAAGTATAACTAGACTTAAGTCAAGTTTTATTTAAATTGATTTTAATGTAAAACAGTTGAATAATTTTATTCATAAAAACGGTCACTTTTAATTCGTATATTGTTTTTATTTTATAAATAACTTTTATCTGATGATTCAAAAACAACCTTAAAGTTAATAATTAATTTTAATATAATTAACATGTTATTTAAATTGCCTCTAAATAACACGATAAAATTAATAAAGTGGTTTAAAAATTAAAACAGAAAGTTACGCTTGTACTTTCTACGTTCTACCTATATCTTGATGGCTTTCAACATTCTTGTATTTAGTAATAATACTACAGTGGACGAAATAGTTAGCGCATTTAATAAGATATTTGTAAATCTTTATAACATACACGCTCCTATCAAAAAAGTAAAGCTGAAGCGGTTGCCTGCACCTTGATAATAGTAGTTCGCATTGAAATGAGGCATAGAAACCGCGCCTTACATAAGCATAGGAAAGCGCGGTGTGAGGAAAATCGATCCATGTTCAAAACTGCATGAAATCGATGTAACCAACGAAACGCCGATATATTTAATATTATTTATTTACAGATACACAAACCTTGCCACGTACGAGGGTCAATTGTGTATGAGTATTGACCTAGAATATATAAAGAACTGGTCTGATGAGTTTGGCCTTAAAGTTAAGCCATCGGATTATAAAGAGACTGGCTCATATAGCTGAACGTTCGATCGTTTTTAACGGTTATATTTTAGAACTGAGTAGTACCGAAAGACCTTGGCTTACACATCGATTCCATTAAGAGCTGACAAACTCAAGTGGCAAATGGTTGTCAGAAAGCCACAGCCACATTGTGTGCGTGTTCTCTACCGTCTGAAAAACTTTCTCCCGTTCAGGACCAAACGATTATTGTGCAGACCTTAATTTTTTCCCTTTTTGACAACTTGTTCAAATATGAATGTCTTCTTAACAACTGCATTAGATTCATTTTTGAGATCTTTGAAAGTATGATCATGTGTCTACTTATCGCTCTCACTTTAACTGGCTTCCCATTTGTCAGCGTTTTAGTCTACATGCACTCACTACCTTTATCCCATCTTGATGTCTCCTCATCCTCCATCTTATTTAACTCCTCGCTTTCAGTATCTTATTAGCTCCAACCATGATAGAGTTCTCTGTTCTACTAATAACCTTCTGCTTCAACGCCCCCTAGGTACATATTACTGACTTTATCCATTCTTCGTTCTTTGTCTAATCTGTTCTTCTTTGGAACACTCTTCCTCCCGAAATCAAGAGATCCGAAAATCGGTTTTTGTTTATAACCAAAGTTCGAAAACTTCTTTTATAAATAAAATGGTAGAATCAACTCAGCGTACTTACCTAATTTTGGCTAGTTCTGGAGATAAAGACTGTATATAAGACGCACTTTGGGATCCGGCGCGCCTTGCCTGAAGAAAGCAGGCGGATAGGTTGTCCTCTCCCGAGAAAGAACCGACGGCGCTGGTGGCGATAACGTTGTGTGTAAAAGCGTTCCTGTGGCTATTGATACGCGAAAGGTGGATTTAGTCGGTGCGAGTCCGACGTAACTCACCCAGCCTCCGACATGCGTAAGAATCTTCTTGAATCTCACGATGAAAAAAGAGGCGTATTATTAATACAGCTTATACAACATGTAACATAATTAACGCACTTTGAGAAAGTAGTTTGTTCAGAATTGTTTACTGAATCGATTTCTATCATTTTTAATATAGGTAATTTTTTATCCCAAAAATAATTAAAACTACGTAAATTACAGTCACACTAAATCTGTACAGTCAAAACAAACTGAAATGAACCGTAACTTAAGGCAATAAGACATTTAAGAGTGCAGTTTTATTTGTATTATTACTAATTCTTCCATTCAAAAAAAAAAAAAATGAACTTTATTTCAAGCACGTTAAAGTCTTTGCGTTCGTGGATTTGTACTGTGACCACAACATTCTTCCGGAATTAGTATAACTAATTTGATAAATAATCAGTGCATAAAAATGTTTAACTAAAAATTCAGTGTATGTATTATGGTTATAACATAATATACTAATTGGGGTGTCTGAGGGTGTGCGTTAATTACGTTACATATTGTATAACGTTCGCTACGCCCCTGATTTTCTCCCTTAGACAAACACTCAATTATATTGATTTTCAAGTATTTGTTTAAAGGAAATATTATGCATATTACACAGATTTTTTTTAAAACGTTACCTCCACCCTAGGTTTTTCTCCGGTATCGTGGAGTTTTCATATACATAAATTTCACAAGGACAAACATCCAGACCCGGAAGAATTATTTGTAGGCCATACAAATGCTTGTTCCGTGCGCGATTCGAACCCACGGCTCTTAGGGCTGAAACTCATTTCTAAGCCACTGCGCCATGGAGCCGTCTCCGTTAATTGGACATCTAAGTCCTCACGGATGACAACGCATCTGTATTTTGATTCGTAATCGAGGATAAATGTAGATGTCTATGGGCCACAGCAACCACTTACCATCAGGTGGACTGTGTACTCGTTTGTCATCCTATCCTTTAAAAAAAATCTTGTGTGTCCGTAACACAAGATTGTATACCTCTTGAGTAGTAAAAGTCGTATGAATATTACGCTGGTAATTTTATAGCAATCAATTATCAAGTTTTTGTAAACGATTTTTTGCGATATAATGTTTATCTCCTCAAAATAATATATTCAACTCTTGACAGGTTATAGTTTTATTGATTGGGTTTCTTAAGATACTGTTGAGTTTATCGTTATTAATATTTTTCTAATTACAAATATATGACGTAGCAGTCATCGGACCCGCGTTCTTTTTGTTCGCTTTGTGATAATAATAAGCCCGAACAAAATCACGTTTCAATCCCATGACCTCAGATGAAGTAAAAAAGGTAGATATCTCACCTCTTTGTTTAATTCAGTTTTGTTTTTGGACTATTTAATTACACAGAACGGCATTTTGTAGGCAAAACAGCACGACGCCTCTGGAAGTACGGACGAAAATGAGCGTAGTTTGACGCTGGTGTGCGTGAACGCGTATGTTTATTTAAAGGAGCGGAGTTTTTTTTTGCTTCACCAATAATTAAGGCCGAGCTGTATCTACCTTTTTTTACTTTATCTGAGCCCATGACAAGCTGTTACGCATGTTATTAACGATGAGGTCCTTTCATTGACGTTAGCGATGGGTCCTCGTTCGGCTTACTTATGTCACATCAGATCTGAAAAAATTTCTTTTCGATTCCTTTTTTTAAATTAGGATGACAAACGACCACACAGTACACTTGTTGGTAAGTGGATGTTGTGGTTCATAGATATCTACATATATCCTCGAAAAATCAAAATACAGATGCGAGGTCACTAGGCTGGAATGCCTCGTTTCCATTAGAAAGGGTCTCCGGATTCTACACTCACCATACGAAACACAGCAGCATTATGCTGCTATTTTATGCTGGTATTCTGTGTGAGCGTGGTCCTACCCCGGTCGAGCCGACCCATTCATGCTACAACCATATACAGCTGCAGCGTGACTCTACCACGTATGTATTGATGAAATGCAAAGCTTTATTCAAAAAATTGTTAAAATTTATATTTTTTAAGAATAAATCAGTTATTTTTATATTACAACAAGTTTTAAAAAAATGTTATGCTCATTATTTATATTATTCTCATCGTATGTTATGCTGGGCGGGCTTTAGTTTGGCGAAAGTTCAACCGAAAACCTCGTACTGGCAGTACTGCTCTCATCACTAAGGTTTTGGAACTTGGTGACATTTTGAATGGATTTTCTGACAACAGAATATAATAACGCACTCCTTAATAAACATATTAATATTCAGCGTATAAAGTACCTACCGCTGTCATACATCCCAGCACTTCCGAGACCACATGAGAGTTGCAATTATTTGTCAATCAAGTTTTATTGATTTACACATTATTTTATTTACATCGTAAACACTTCTAACTTAAAATAAACCATAATGGAGAAAGTTATTAGCGGTTATCCATCGCGGCTATATTCTCCAGAGTGCACCTCGTTTGAAGGCCAAACACGTGTAGTATTATTGACAGTGGTGTGTTTTAAACTACGAGCACTTATAGGGTTAAGTG